AGTTTGAGATATAGCTATATAAGTCTTCATATGCTTCCAGAATTATATATTGTCCTGGAAAAGTTAAGTTCTCGGGATTTTGCTATTTTTAGAGTTTAGAAGGAAAAGCTTTCCTTGAAAGATTTTCACGTGCTTGGCACCGGTATGAAGAAAAATATTTTCCGTGGTTCCATGAAACATTTTATGACACATTACAAATTTACAGTTTAGTTAAAAAAATTCAACGGGGTATACATTCTGGGAGAGTAACCAAGTTCCTTTCCTGCCATCTAGAAAAGCCGAATTTGGAAAATAACATTGTTTGTTTAGTTCATTGTCCTCTTTCTGCATCATTGCTGACAATTGAAGGGCACATTTATACCTTTTTAGGTTATTGCAACTGCAGTTTCTGTATGGCTGGCAGACAAATCAGGGCGCAGACTTTTACTTATTGTAAGTTATTATAGTAAATTGGAACAAGCAGCTCCTTGGTCTCCAATATATTTCTTCAATGTAACAGAAGTGCCCCTTTTGCAGGTCTCATCTACTGGTATGGCTATCAGTCTCCTACTCATCTCCGTTTCCTTCTTTATGAAGGTAACTCATATAACTTCAGACAGTTTCTGCAAAAAACTAAAAGCAGGCTAACATATACCCCACATTTGATCAACACTTACCAGGGTTATGTATCTGAAGACTCGTCTCTCTATGGCATTCTGGGGATAATATCTATTGTTGGAGTTATGGTATGTTCTTGAATTGATGCGCCATGATGACTTTGAACCTTGCTTGCTAAAGTTCTTTAATAACCAATTTCCATCTTTCAGTGCATGATTATTTTCTTTTCGCTTGGATTGGGACCCGTACCATGGCTTATCATGTCTGAGGTACCATTTTTGCCGAGTGAATACTGTAGTCTATTTCATCATAGTGTATCTGAATTACTAGACATTTAATCACTTGTCACCATATAATATATTTAGATATCATGTATGCATGTCACTTACTAGGTTTCATCTTTATGTTTCCTGTTTTCTAACTTAAATTGGTTTCTAGGTTTTCAAATATAAAACATGTTAGGTTTTCGCATTTATGTGATTTATATTGTTTATAATGAAAATATTATTTCAATTAAAGTTTGAATTTTGAAACGTTTTATGAGTTATCAAGGTGGAAACATGTTTTGGTAAGAGAATGGAAACTAGAAACCCCGCTCATAAATAAATTGTTTTTTACTACATATTATTTAATGCGTTTAGAAGTCTAGTATGAAAAGTGACATTTTTATGTCTGTTTTCAGAAAACTTAAAACAAAATAACATAACCAAAAGTCTCCTTAAAGTTTTTTTGGGTTACTTATTATTATCACCCATCCAGCTTACGTCAAAACAAGATTTTAACCCAGTGTTTTGGAAAGTCAGCTGATTACTCCCCTCAAGTTCGGTCAAATTAATGAATACCATCTCCATTATATTCCAAACTTATTTACTGCGTTTTTTGCATTTATAGAAGTAAATGTTAAATAATGTTCCTAATATTTGTATCATTCATGGAGGGTGTATTGATTAATCTGACCAAATTTAAGGGGTAATTAATTGAAAACTTACCAAATCTGAGGGTGATAATATAATTAACCTGTGTTCTTAAAGTCTAGTAATTGAATTTTGGTCCTGGTAAACTGTACAATCTAATGGTTCAATAAAATTCAAATATAATTCTTGAGGGGTGTTATTATCTGTTACGGAGCAACTAATAAAGCTATTAACACTCATTTACAGATTGGTTACGTCATACGAACTAAATTATTTGCTCACATTAGTTTTTAAAACTAATAGTATTTGTGATGATTGTAGATTCTTCCAATTAAAATCAAAGGCCTTGCTGGAAGTGTGGCTACCTTGGCCAATTGGTTATGTAGCTGGGTCATCACAGCAACGGCACCTATGCTATTGGATTGGAGCAGTGGAGGTTCTCTCTCCCTCCCTCTCTCTAACACACAACTCTTATGCATAGACATACACTATGCAATATCGGCAGAAACATGTACACTAATCTGTTTAAACTGTGTTAGATATGAAAGTAAACCAAATGTACCCAGTATATCTCACTTTACCCCTTAGGGAGTAGAGTTTTCCCATGATAAACCTCGGGCAAATTAGTGAAAAGTAACGTGAACAATGTGTTAGAAAAGGAAAACGTATCAAAAAGGAGAGTCGAGAAATGAGGATTCGGTTCTATACCTACCTTCGTGAAAATAATGTAGTGACTCGAAGCCCTGTGCCTTCATTTGTGAACAATATTGGCCATCAGATGGTGTCACTTGTGGCGTTCGCTTCTTATGTGCGTGTGGAAGGTCCTTCTTTTAGAAATCCTCTTAATGCAGACTGACCTATCTTCTCACATTCAGATACATTTATATGCGAATATTTCATGACAGTAATCAGTTGATGTTTTTTTACAGGGACATTCATTATATACACGGTTGTGAGTGCGTTCACCATAGTATTTGTATCCATTTGGGTCCCAGAGACAAAAGGCAAAGGTCTTGAAGAAATCCAAAATTCTTTTAGATAGGCTGTTTCTTCTGCTGTTCTTGTTTGTGCTCGAATGCTTTTTTCCTTTTTTTTTTTTTGGGGGGGGGGGGGGGGTCTTTGTCGCATGTATGTATAGGCACTATACCATAGTGGAGGGGCACCCTGATCATTGAGCTTTATTCTTTCGTGAAATGTTTTATTCTCTCGTGAACGGATTAGTATTCCCACCATTTTTATAAATAAATGCCGTTTCTTGAGGGAAGTAACAATATTTGTTCCATAACGTGTTGCTTGAGAAACCAATAAAGTGCTTACTGTTTTTAATAAGATTTATTCCCTGAGGAAAGTAGAAAAGTTAGACCCATTCTCATCCTTTTGTTAATTATTAGTACACCTTATATCTCAGTATCTCACTAGTTAAGACGCTCTTTTTGCAAGGAGTCATGTTCTAGTGTAAACAAGAATGGTTGTTTTGAGTGAAAATCACATATATTAATAAATTAAAATCATAAGCTTCCCTTTCCTCATTAGATATATAACAATTTGAAGGTCTCTCCACTCCCTGACTAACGAATTAAAGCTAAAATAATATTTCCCCTCCCTAAATAAACTACCTATTTTCCTTTTCCTATTTGGAAAACAAATTTATATTAATTTACTCTACTATTTATTCTTAAGTAATAATGACAACACAATGCAAAACAATTTTAAACAATGTCAAATAGTGAAATTTATCTTAAAATTCACCATGAATGAAATAACATTTTAGGAACTCAAAAGAAATTAATTATTTTCTTAATATGTGTGCAATTCTAACGGATAGGAAGTAATAAGCTACAGCTACTGTTTATGGTCGCCTTCGACAGCTAATGCCTAATAGTCTCCTTTGTGTTTTTTGAAGTGCACACCACAATCTATGTCGCTCAGTTGTCCTTAACCTCCTCTTTCATGTTTCTTTCTTCCTTGCTTGTTGATACCTTCGCCTAAAGTCGTCGAATTTGAGAAGGTGGACCATTGTTGATTTGTTGCTTTCATACTAAGCTAGTAAGCTCACCCAAGAAAAAACACTCCAAAAAAACCTAGACTAAGTGCCTAGCTTTTTTGCTATGAACATGGTTTCAAATTGCGGTTGCGACCTTGGTTGCGATTGTGATTATTGCGGTCACGGTGATGCGTATTGCGGCCGATGAGATGTGCTTTTTTTTGTTCACACAATATATAAGTAAAATGATTTTTTTGCTTTCCTTTACAAAACTTCTGCTAATAATATCTATTATTAGGTAAATAAGTTCAAAATATGTACTACTCCATGTATGTTTTTTTTTGAAGTAACTACTCCATGTATGTTATGTTTCACACATAAGAAATTAAATTTTAAATTGCTAAAAACATGTAGTATAATATACTCAAAAAATAAAACAAATAACTAAAAATTATATTCAAGCTATAAAGCCTATAATGTGGTCAGATTCTGTTGTGGATCATTATGGTTGTGGTGCAGCCGTCTAACAACAATTTTACGGCCACGATTCCACCCAATTTATAACATAGTTATCAATATAATTTTAGAGCCCGTTTGGTAGCACGAAAATCGATTGATTTGGCTGATTGTGCTGAAATTTATGAAGTCCTGGCTGAAGTGACTGCATTTGCTGATTCTGCTGATTTACGAAGTTTTTTTTTTAAAAATATATAATATTAATAAAATAAAGAAGGGAAAAGGGGCAAATAATCCCTCGAACTAACCAAAAAAGTGCAAATAAGCCTTTTTGTAGGAGGTTCCGTCCGGCCATCGTCATTTGAGGAGGTTTCCGGTGGAATTTTTTGATGAGTTTTTTTGAGCATCTTATTCATTAAGTCTAGTTTACTCATATCGAATTTCAGCTAAAAATTCAATCGGGAAGACAGTCAAATGAATTTTTGAAGATAACTGCGTAGTTAAACAACACAGTATATTTCGGAAAATCATTTGAGTGCCTTCCCGGTTGAATTTTTATCTGAAATTTGATATGGCCAAACTAGACTTAATGAAGAAGATACTCAAAAAATTTCATCAAAAAATTCTACCGGGAACCTCTACAAATGACGGCGACCTGACAGAACCTCTTACAAAAGGGCTTATTTGCACTTTTTTTATTAGTTCGAGGGCTTATTTGCCCCTTTTCCCAATAAAGAAAAAGTTATATGTAAAAATAGCTAAAATGATCATCGACAGTAACTTCACCCAAAACAGCCAGAAAAGTAGCCCCAACCTTACTTTTTCAGCTTATTACACAATTCAACGCGCGAAAGCAAAAATTGCGTGTCTGGCGAAAAAGTTGGCTGATAAGCTTGATAAGCCGAAAAATAGTGGTTCCAAATGACCTCTTAACCGTAAATCTTAAAATTGTATGGTTTTACAAATTATAAACCAATAAACGGATTCTACTTGCATACGGAGTATAAAACAACTAAGTTGAACGGAATCATAAACCATACGGAACTTGCGGGTAGTTTCTTTGGAAGAAGTGAAGAACAATGATAAGATTGAGATCCAAAATTTGCACCACACATACAGTCATACAAACATATACTGCTAAAAGCAACTGGGATATGGTTGGAGAAGATTTTACCAATGCAGTGATGGAGTTCTTTGAGAAAGGAAAGATCCTCAAACAAATCAACCATACTAGTATAGCCTTGATTCCTAAAAGCAATCATGAAGCCTCTGCTACTGATTTTAGGCCCATTTCATGTGCTAATGTGACATACAAAACAATTTCTAAGATTTTGGCGGTTAGGATGGCACCTATTCTGTCAGAAATTATTAATCCAGCTCAGAGTGCCTTTGTTGAAGGGAGGGGAATTACAGACAACATCTTTTTGGCCCAAGAACTTGTGAGAGGATATGCTAGAAAGTCAATATCCCCGAGATGCCTTTTAAAGGTGGACTTGAAGAAAGCGTATGATACCATATGTTGGGATTTTTTAAAGGATGCTCTAACAGTGCTTGGCTTTCCTTCTATTTTTGTGGGCTGGATATGGGAATGTATCAGTACCCCTACATTCTCTATATCAATTAATGGAAGTTTACATGGCTTCATTAAAGGTAGGAGAGGACTAAGGCAGGGGGACCCTATGTCACCTACCTTGTTTCTGATTTGTATGGAGTATCTTTCTCGACTCATGTGTAAGGAAACATCCAAACCAGATTTTAATTTTCACCCGAAGTGTGGCCAACTGAAAATATCCCATCTAATATTCGCAGATGATCTTATGCTCTATTCAAGAGGGGACCTGGCTTCTATTCAAGTTCTTTTAAAGTGTATGGCTGATTTTCAGGAGGTATCTGGGCTATCAATTAATATAGCTAAATCAAATATTTTCTTAGCTGGGGTTCATGGGCAGGAGCGGGAGCTGATTCTGAATTTGGTAGGCATTCCGACTGGACAGTTTCCAGTGAGATACCTGGGAGTGCCTTTGGCCCCTAGCAGGGTGTCAGTAGCCCAATACTCTCCTCTTATTGAAAAAATAGCTAACTTTACATTGAAATGGAAAACAAATAGCATGAGCTATGCTGGCAGGTTGGAACTCATTCGAGCAGTTATACAAGGAATCCAATCCTATTGGATCCAAGTTTTTCCTATTCCAGTGGCAGTCATTGAGAAGGTTGTTTCACATTGTAGACAGTTTTTGTGGGGTGGCCCTAACGCCAAAGTGGCTTGGGCAGATGTGTGTAGACCAAAAGAGGAAGGAGGGTTAGGCCTTAAAGACTGTAAAATATGGAATTCTGCACTACTCTCTAAAACACTTTGGAATATCCACCTAAAGAAGGATACTTTATGGGTTCGGTGGGTGCATTGTGTATATCTCCGAAACTGCTCCATGTGGGACTGGATACCTCCCGATGGAGTGTCCCCCCTTTTTAGCAAGTTAATAAAGATCAGGGAGGCATTGAGTACACTGTTGGGAGGGAAGTCAGGTATTATTTCTACTCTCAACAACATCTATACCAATGGTAAGCTTCAGTCAAACAAAGTTTATGACATTTTGAGGGTTAAAGGTCATAGCAAACCTTGGATGAACCTTATTTGGAAAATTTACATACCCCCAAAATTCTCTTTTATTCTTTGGCTTGGACTGAGAAACAGACTACCAACGTGTGATAACTTGCTATACATAGATATGGATAGAGCATGTTGCTTTTGTAAGACTTACATGGACTCATCTGATCATCTTTTCTTCAAATGTGTATTTACGGGAGCAATTTGGGAAGGAGTTAGGCAGTGGCTTAAGATCAAGAAGAATTCTTCTACACTCTTGAGCACAGTCAAGTTATGTTTGAAGCAGTATGGAGGAGCAAGATTGACTAGCAAGGCTGTCAGGCTAGCCTTGTGTTGCACTGTCTATTCAATTTGGAAGGCTAGGAATGAGCAAATCTTTGGACATAAAGATGCTACTATCGAGGGAGTACTCTTTCAGATTAAGTTACATGTTTATCGTGTTCTGTTTAGACTTTACCCCGTAAGTATGATTGAGTTTTGATTCTCCTTTTTCTAGTTCTTAGTTGCTATGAAATTTGAGTGACCTGATGTTAGTTATGTATTACTGTGAGAGAGTTGTTTGCTGTTGTCTTTTTGAAACTATAGTATGGTTGCTTCTTTGATTGGGGAATGCCCCTCTAAATGTTGTAATCTAATTTTGGCATTTAATGTATATTTACCTTTTTTACCAAAAAAAAAACATATACTGCTAATGTTATTCAAGGAATTGATAAGTATTCGTGTTTCTTACGTGTACGTTTTGGTTTTGGAATATGTCAGCAATTTAATATATACATATAACATATGATGTTACACCAAAAATAGTACTCTGTATATATAAATTTCTTATTTGCACATGAATTTTATTTTTTTGATACATCAGAATTCAGAAAGGATTACACATGAATTTTAGGTGTATATAAAACCTGCAATGTTTTTAAATAATTTATTTAACAAACTTTTCGTTTGAATTTTGAGTTGAAAATTTGTGATGATCATTTATACTTCATGAAGAATATATACTCACAAACTATTAGCTTTTCTAATAGTTTTTGTTAGCTTTTCTGAGTTGAATATATACTCACAAGAAAATGTACCTTTTCAACTATTAATTTTTATTATTATTTTGCTTTAGTTTTAGTTTCTCTCATTCAATTATTAGCACATTGTGAAAAAAAACACAATGGAAGAACTGTATATATGTGACCATGTGGGAGCAAATCAATAGCGAATTTCCAGTGTCAGGTCTCAACAAATTGAAATGCAGAGACAAAAATTGACAAGAAATACTGTACTCGTATATTCCACCTTCCCAGCAAACCATATTTCACGACCGTGTGATATTGGGATTTGGATCCTCTGCCGCACGGCAGAGGTGCCTTGGGGCAATTCAATGACAAGCAACAAAGAAGAAGAAGAGAGCGGCTGGAAGAGGAGAGTGAATCGCGTGGCTGTAATAGCCACGCACCCTACCTAGCTGCCAAAGCCAGGCAGAGAATCTTGATCCGTGATATTGAACAAGCTGAACAACGGTTTTATTAAAATTAGCCACTAGTGTTTTCCCCGGGCGTTGCGGGTGCATATTGAGATTCTTAGAACTGTTCTAACACACACAGGATCTGGCTCCGATGAGAACACTGCTTAACGTGATAAATGAGAACACTCCAAAATGATAATATTATGGTTCACAAAAAGTAGCATTTATAATTAAAGTAATGCAAAATTTAAATGTACACATTTAAGTTTAAACTTTCAGACAATTGAAAGACACATTTCTAATTTTTTATATAGATAGTTTTGTTTTACATGATGCACGATATATAGCCAAATCCAACGCTCCAGAATCATTCTTATTTCTCGCATAAGCTTGTATTCTCATATATATAGGGAGCGATTCCAGTGAGAAAGGGCTCCCTGGAGAGATTGAATTTGGACCATTGGATTGTATTTTGTTAAACTGAATTGTGCATTTGGTGTAACTGAAATTTGCATTAGGTGAGATTGAAATGTGCAGAAAAAATGTAGATTCAATTGTGCATTACGTGAAATTGAAATGTGCAGAATAAAAGACACAAAAATGCCACCACATCCTAGCTTTTATTTGCACATTTCAGTTTCACCTAATGTACAATTCTATTTCACATAATGCCACTATGTCATACCTTTAGTGATGCACATTCCGATTTCACCTAATGCACTTTTCAGTCTTACCTAATTAATGCACATTCAATTACACATAATACAATCTAACGGTCGAGATCCATTCTCATTTCTCTCCTAAGATCATTTTCTCATTTGAACATAATTATACATATTAAAGTGAGTTCTAATACAAAGATGTCTTCAATTTCCATGAAAAGTGAGAAGTGATTGAAGTCCTAGGTCACTTTAAAATTGATGGAATAGATCAAAACTCAGTGTCAACCTAAATGTGTAAAAAATGCATATGCAATATGTAACGCTTCACATTCACCTTCTTAAACAATATCACAAAACCATTTATGTACTTGTTATTTTATTTTCAAAAACCGATGCACTTTTGTAGTAGCCCAATGCACTTTTCCTATGGTCATGCACATTTATCACATTATTTTTCAAAAAAGTTTCTAATGCACCGAAAATTTTCACTTTAAATTGATCTATTCCACTCATTTTAACATTTTAATGACTAAGATTTCTTCTCAATTTTCATTTGAGGAGTACTTTTTTTTAACCTCCCTCTATGTGTGTGTACATATACGCATAGCTAAGAAAAATAACTTAAATACCCCAAGTCTTGCAGAGGTGTTAGATAACATATCCCAAATTGTATATGTAATGTAAATATCCAAAATTTTATAAAATAAGTTATCTTAGAATCATGATCATGCATTTTTTCTTTCACAAATGTGATTTATGGTGTTAAACATATAATTTTAATACACCTACCAAGCATTTTTTAGTTGCAAAATAATTTTACCTTTGGTTTATATAGTTGCAACACTTCTAATTTGATATCCGCATGTAAAGACTTCGATCATTAACATATTTAATTGACTATTAGTATACATGTATAAATGTCACATTTTAATTTTTTTAATTGGGATAAATTTTATAATATTTTATGTAGGACAATTTTTCAATCCGTTAATAAATACACTTAAAGTATAGTGTGTGAATAACGTAAAAGTTAAAGTAGAATATGTAAATAAGGTAGTAGCTAAAGTGTTTCAACTATTAAAAACGAAGAATGTTTAAGTACACTTGCTCTGATTTTATTTAACATGGTTAGGTACTTAGGTTGTCTAAAGATTACTCAGTAGATAATTATTGTGTTTGCTCTGATTTTATTTAACACAGTTAGGTTGTATTTATATATAGTAAATTTTACTAAATAAAACTTCAAAAAAGTATATTATTGTCACATACTCCCTCCGTCCCAGAATTAACTTCGGTTTTGACTGGGCACGGAGATTAAGAAAGTGGGAAATGTGTGGTGGAGAGTTGTGCAGAGGAGAGAGAAATGTGTAAGAATGGTTGTGAACCACAAATCCTTTGCTAAAAAGGGAAAGAGGAAATAAATTTGGGACGGACCAAAAAGGAAAGAATGAAGATAATTATGGGACGGAGGGAGTATCAAATTTGATAAATTTTGTGTGATTCTATATCATTCTTACTATATTCTTACATTCAATTTAATATGGATTTTGATAAGCCTCGATATGCAATGGCTAATGATAAAGCTAGAATAAAAAATACAAATACACTTTCTAATAAAAATTTATACAAATTAAATACACTCATTATTATGGGTTGTCATTTGAAGTTCTCAATGGATGCTGAAATTAGAATTTATAGATTTTTAATAATCTGGTTCTTTCATAATAGTGGTGGAGGCAATTTAGGTATTAAAAAAATAGATATATCACGTACTTCAGTTGTAGTTCTATTAAAAAAATAGGTTTTATTGAAACAATAGTTTAGTTCTAATAAAAGGATAAAATTGAAAACTCCTTATTTGGTGAGTGAATAAATAAGTTCTTATTTATAAATTGACTAGAGATTATAAAAATTGAAAATAAATTGTTAAGCCATGTACATTTTTTACGTAGTACTACCTCTGTCCCACTATGTTTGGGACAAAGGGTGTGGCGTAACTTTTAAGAAAAATTGGAATTGTGTGGTTGATATTGAATTGATAAAGTATGAATAAAGTAAGAATGAATTGTAACCACCCAAATATTACCAAATATGGTATGAGACAAACTTAATGGGACGGACGAAAAAAGTAAAACGGGACAAACTTAGAGGGGGCGGAGGGAGTATATTAATTAGTGCAATGTTGACTTAAAATGAATGAATAGTATCCAAGAAACGTAGATTTTGAAACTATGCAACTTTAATTTGTGATATTTATTGATTATTGATACCATATATTAAAAGATCATGCAACTCTTACCATTTAAAAGTATGGAGAGGATTGAAACGTGAGGTCAATTTATTTCTTGTACTTGATAGCAATTATTTAATTTATCAATTGTACTTGATAGCAATTAATTGACAAATCAATTTCAATTTGAATGAATGTTCTACTTTATTATTAAGGTAGATACGGGGACCATCAATCAAAATAGAGGACCCAATTGGACCTTGTCCATTTGAGAATTACTAAAGCCCTTTTGGGAGGCCCCCTTTTGCCTTTTGGTATAGTTGTGATTTGGGTGAAAACCTAGTTGTGTAGAGTCCAATTAGTAATACAAATTTTTTACCCGCACGGGTAGCTTAGTTGATCAAGTGGTGGGAAATTTGGAACAATGACCAATGTTCGAATCCCCGCAGCGATCGGGTGGAGGTCACAGAACCTGAAATAAGGCTGGGCCTCTGGTGCGCACGGGTGTATGGCCTACTGCCACTCTACTGACTGAGTCGTCATGACTTACATCCTCCCAAAAGTCCTGTCGGGTTGGGGCGTGGGGACGCTTGGGGTTGGCGATTCAACCTTTTGGAACAATGGTAATACAAATTTTTGACTTATCAACCTTAGGATAAGTTTTTCATCGAACATTGGACATTGACTTCGCTCACTAAATTATGTCATAAGATTATTTCAGATTTTAGATTTGAACTAAACCTCCAAATTATGTCACTTTGCCGACGTCCAGAGTGAAGCCTACGTCTTTCTTTTGTAAATTAATAAGATCCAGAAGTAAATTTCAGATTTTAGTTTTGAACTCAACCTCCAAATATTCAAATAGCGTAATTTGCGTTTCTTGTAAACTTTAACCTTAAGTTTCAAATCTGTAATTTGCTTGTTTGTGAGTTTGAACTTCCATTTCGAACAATGGCGTGTACTTATGGATCAAGCTCACAAGTTGTGTTTGAGGTTTGAGACTTCCGAGACTTGTAACTATGGATAATTTCACTATAGCTTAGTAGTGCTTATTTACTAGAAAATTTGTTGAAATTCAAGATTTTGACGAACACAAATAATGCATCTGGCACCAGAAAAATGCATCATACTTGGGCTTCCTTCAGTAGCCTTATCTAATTTCTCCTTTAAAGCAAAATATACCCCGTAATAAATAAGCAGAATTCTTGTTTGTGGCTGACTTACTTGGGCTCAAATTGACATTGTTGTGGCTTTTTAAGCAAGGTCAATAAACACAAAGCAGAACCCCCATTTAACTCATGTCACTGTGGTTTCTTTCATGAAAGCATTATACCAAAACAAAAATGATTCTTTTAAAATACTGCAGCCAATGGTAAATGGTACATCTGTTACTCGATAGCCTGCACAAATAACAGACTGCACTAGTGCATTGCAACACTAGATTCATATGAAATGGTAACCGAACAAAGCCATAAATTCTAAACACTGGACCAGGAAAGGGAAGATAAAAACCGAAAGTACAAGCCCTATGAAACAGAAAAAAGGGATGCACAAGCAGCACAGAGAATAACAGATCGGGAAAACTGTATACCAATTATCAAGAGTTACCATAACCTATGAAACTATAACACTACTTTCACTGGATAACGGTCAATACAATCCTCCCATGGACTCTTAGTGGATGGCCTCACGTTACGAAGTGCTTGCCAAACAGCACTGTTACACTTGAAACCACTCCCGAATGCAATCTGCCACACTCTGTGTCCTTTCCTCATCCTTCCCTTGGCCTCAGTATATGCCAGCTCATACCAGATAGAGCTGGATGAAGTATTACCAAATCGATGTAGTGCCATTCGGGAGGCCTCCACGTGTGTTGGAAGGAGTTGGAGATTCTTTTCCAGCTCATCAATCACCGCCCTTCCCCCAGCATGTATGCAGAAGTGATCAAATGCCAGCTTGAAATCTGGAATATATGGCATGATGTTCTCATTGTATAATTTCTTGATTACCAATGTAGAAAAGAAGAGAAGCTGTTCGCTGATTGGCAATACGAGGGGACCAAGTGTGGTGATATTGGTCTTCAGAGTACCACCAGCAATTGCCATTAGTTCTTTTGACAAGGAAACTCCTGTCTTGCCGTTTTCGTCTTGTTCCTGGTAAACACAACGGAAGGCCTTGTCATCGGCCCCTCGGTGAGTCCTCACGACGTGAACAAGCTTATACTTTGCCCTTCTCCTGTCTATTGACTTGTTAGATAAAAGAACAGCAGAACCTCCCACTCTAAACAAACAATTTGGTATCAGCATAGACTTCTTATTCCCAAAATACCAATTCTGTGTGATGTTTTCTGTGCTAACAACAACAGCATAGGTATTTCTGTGCACTTGCAATAAGTCCTTGGCTAGATCAATAGCAATCACACCTGCACTACAACCCATACCCCCCAAGTTGAAAGTCCTAATATTGCCTCTTAATTTGTATTTATTCACAATCATAGCAGAAAGTGACGGAGTTGGATTAAACAGGCTACAATTTACAATGAGTATGCCTATATCTTTTGGTTTTAAACAAGTATTGGCGAATAAATTATCCAATGAACCAAACATAACCTGCTCTGCCTCTTCCCTGGCAGCCAGCATAGACGGCTGAGGGGGGACGCAGTGCATAGCCTCCGGGAAATAAGTCTCATCCCCAAGGCCAGACCGCTCTAAGATCTTACGCTGAAACTCGAGGCTGGAATCATCGAAGTCTCCTGTGAGCCGAGAGTGATCCATGAACCGATGATGGTTAGCCTTGAGGCTATCGGGAGGCTGATAACAGGAGTAATCAACCAAATACACCGGCCGCGGCCGGGTCATGATATAAGCCGTGGATCCGAAGACCATAACGGTGGAGCAGATAATCACAGAAACGAGATTGTACTGCAAATGAAGCCATAACTGGCGAATGTCATCTGGATTCATCTGAGAGGCCTCGATAATAATAACGACCATCACAGGAATCAGACACAGAGTTAACAGATGCGAAATCAAGTAGTGGTAACCTAGTTTCACGTACTTCAAGTTGACGCTCTGGAGAAAATCCGGCAGCCGCCGAGTCTGCTGGATCTGCACTCCCACCGGTGCCGGTCCTCCGCCGCCGTCCATGGCGGTTTATGGAACTGTGGATCAGTCGTTGGAATGATGAAGAAAAGAATAAAACCGCGGATTGCGCGGACAGTTATGGCAAGCATAAGGACTGTTATGATTATATATATACGGCGTGTATATGTGCAGTGAGCTGGATTTGTCACGTTGTCAACGGCGTGAGGTATCAGCTTGAAGAGGAAGGGTCCGCCGGATATAGAAAGTTATGCCTTTTTATCAACGGTCGCGATTCAAACTCACCTAATTAACAACTTTAAAAGGTCAAAAATCAGCGTGAATAATTCAATATTTAGGATGTTTAGTTTTGGACTATTTTTAGTCCCAAATCAGACAAGATTAAACTAGACTAGACCAGATCAGATCAGATAAGACCATACCAGACTTCTGTAGTTATAAAATACTCCCTCCGTTTCCAAAAGAAAGTCACGGTTTGACTTCACGATTATTAAGGAAATAAATTGACTTTACTGTAGAAAACACTGTTTAAACTTTAAACATTGTTTGGCATTGTTTGGACACTGTTTGGCACTGTTTGAATGTAGATTTCTTTACCAAATAAGGAAATAAGGGAAGTGTGACTTTATTTTTGAAACATCTCAAAAAGGAAAGTGTGAGTTTCTTTTAGAAACGGAGGGAGTACATAAGAATGAGACGTTTACTAGACCGGACCAAACCAGTTCAAACCAGACCAGATCAGACCAGCAAATTTCAATCCAAAAAGCTTTTTTATACGAAGCATTTCGATCGCGTGATTAATCGAAATTAAAGTCCAAAAACAAGTCCCACTTGCAAAAAAAAAAGCAACCACTTTCTATGGAAAATTATCAAAGCAAATCAATCAACTTTATTCGACTTTAGAAGAGTTTACACGATTTTATTATGATTTTATGATTTTAGATTAGATGCGATTAAAATCAATTTGTTAGTTTAAAATCATAAAATCATATGCCTTTAAATTTAAATCAAGATTTCAAATTTTCAACAATCTTGTCCGAACAACCGTCAATCAAGGCTTAGAGCTCTCTCTTATTAATGCTTTGTTTGCAACCACTTATACTTAAATAAAAACATTTTTGGGAAAAAGTGATTAGTAGTAAAAGTTGATAGTGTTTGGTAAAATAAGTGCTTTTTGTGTAATAGAAAAAAAGTAAAAGTAGATTCTACACGAAAACCGAGATAGTAAAAGTTGGTAGTGTTTAGTAAAATAAGTGTTTTTTTCTTAAAAAAAGCCAAAAGCACTTATAAACCGAGATTGCAAACAGGGCCTAACACTATCACCTCTAAAAAGTTAGGGCGTGTTTACTTTGACGTTTAAAGTACAGCTAGCTTACTAAGGCGTATGAAGTAAACATTTTTTACGGCTAATTCCATGGCTAGTAAGCGGAAAGGCTTCCGTAAGCACCGATTACTAAACCGACGCCTCTCCCATGTATTATTTAATCGTTGAGTTAAGCTCTTTTTATTGACCAACATGTCCCTGCTTTTTGCAATATCAGATTTTTATTTACATCAATACCACATCTTATCTTGAGCCAAGACATTTCTCGTACGCGCTGATCACCATCCCCAAACCACCGATCTTTCTCAACCATTGAAAATAGCCATGACTGCGATTAAAATGGAGGAATCAGATTGTTGAGCACCATATAGCAAACAAATCGATCGTGACAGGCAAGAGATTCCTTCTTCGAATAGAGGTTACATGTTTAACCAGACTGAACAAATTCTTATTTTGACTATATAGATCTTAATTGAGGATAAAAAATTGAAGAAGAAATTACCTAGAGGGCTGGAGATGTTGAACAGTTGCGCCAACGATGGAGATTGGTCTGCCTCTCACTCGTAGAACAGGAGCAACGATATTATATGAAGGAGTTTTAAGGTTACTTTTGTCATTGTAGATATAACACCTCTTATTTAAGCTCAGGATCAGTACGAAGTAAACGTCAGGATAATAACCGCCTCTTAGTAAGCATTGTTTTAGTAAGCCACCGTTTAGTAAACGTAGTTTATTAAGCAATAAAGTAAACATGTCCTTAATATCTTTCTCTTTTTTTGGAGAGGCCTTTGCTGCGTTTGAATACCAGTTAAAGGGGTTTCATTAAAGATTTAGGGGAACATGGTTATTTATTTCAGTTTTATCATGAGATTGATTTAAGTAGAATATTGGATGATGGATCGTGGTCATTTGATCAAAATCTCATTATTCTGCGTAAACTTATGGATGAGGATATTCCCTCAGCTATACCACTTTATATGGTTGACATTTTAGTCTAGGTGCATGATTTGTTAGTGAGATATCTTACTCCATCAAATGCAATAAGAATTGGAAACTATTTGGATCATTTATTCGTATTGATGAAAGTACTTTTGGGGAGTCATGAACCCGTTTGTGTGAATTAGAGTTACCCTAGATGTTGGAAAACCTTTGAAAAAGAAATTGAAATTACAAAAAGAGGGAGGGGAGTCGAAACTTAGTTAAGTACAAGATAAAAAGTGTGAATCTTTTTTAAATAATATTTGAGTTGAAATTTTCATACGTAGCTTATATAATGGCATCTGTGTGCTTTTTTATTTGAAGTATTTCGATGACGTGATTTAATCGAAATTAAAGTCCAAAAACAAGTTCCATTTTCTATGTTTCCATTATACTATAAAGATTCTTTAATGGAAAATTATCGAATCGATCAGTTTTATTTGAATTTAGATGACTCTTTTCGATTTTATTATGATTTTAGCTGCGATTCAAATAGATTTGTTATTGTAGAATGATAAAACCATACGATCACTGGGTCTAAATGATTTGGATGGTAGTTCATAAGCTCTAACATTATGAAGTGTAAACCCGATATCTCTATTATAAACAAAAAACATATGATTTTATGATTTCAATCGAGATTTTAACAACCTAATTACTAAGTATCTAATATGTGTATCTTCCTATTAATTGAAATCACATCTTAGAAAAATGAAAGAATAGTCATATTTTTTTAAATCCAAACACCAACCAATAATAGTATAATACTATTGAGACATTTTTTTCTAGATTATTTTATCTCTATCACATTTTCCATTTCATATTCAAGAATTATTCTAAAAATATTCGCTTTACTGACGAGGCTAGACATGAGATATGTGTGTGTAACGTACCAAATTAAAATATTTTCGTTTGTTACACATTAGCTTGAGACTTGAGTAACAATAGAAAAATGAACTTTCTAGTTTCTATGGAGACACTCACAGAGTCATAGCTCGATTGCCCTGTGTTTGGGTTTATCGGGCTTACATGTCAACTTTTTGATCAAACACGTAATTTTTTATTTCGCGCGCTGAATTATGTAATACGGAATAATAAGAAAAAATAAAGTTGAAGTTATTTTTCGGATTGTATTGACTGAAGTTACAATAGCAGACCATTTTAGTTATTTTTCATGCGATTTTTATTTGTTTTATTAATAAAATAGTTTTTATTTTTTTTCCTCATAAGTTAGCTGAATCATCCAGTACAGTCACTTCAACCAAAACTTCATAAATTTCAGCAGAATCAGCAAATCAGCCGATTTGAATGTTACCAAACGGGCTCTTAGAATCTTTCAAAAAAATGGAGACATTTTTTCTTTATTTTTGATCATAAAAGAGCGTCCGTTATATTAAAATCGAAAACACATACAAGACAATATTCTGACAGAATTTATAGATTCAATCGTGAACCCTATGAGTAGACTAAGAGTCAGCCACCTCGTACAAAGCAACATGACTCGCTAAACCTGAAACAAGCAAATTTAGGCCTAAAGCGATCAGAAGTGAAACCCTGTCTATCAAAAAAACTCCAAAAATCCAAACATTCAAACCAAATCTACTCGGACTAAAACAGAAACAAGTGCTACTAAAGAGAAAATAATACTGAAATAAAATCTTTCCACAAAGTTCTTTCTGGTATAGAGGTGGTTCTGGAGGAGGACGAGCTCTTAGAATATGGGTGAATACCAACTCCACCACCCACGGAATGGCCTACCAAGGCTTCATGATCTCGCCTCGATACAACATGTCAGCCGCACCTCATTCATCCGTCAACGCTATCTCCTCCGATGTAGTTGCAATGCCAAATGTTATAACACTTACAATCAGTATAATCTGGCGCTCCAGCCCCATATTGATAGGGGGCAGAAAATCTCAATCTGAACCCCTATAAAGCGGGAAGATGGTCACTAAGGTTTCTGTCTCTAAAGAGGTTTAACTCATAAATGACTTGATTAAAAAAAGGAGACATTTAGAAAATGAAAAATGATCACTTAATTACCAAACAAAAATGTATATTAACATCAAATAGAGATCTATTCATTGAAATCCATTTTGAATAAAATATGAGTGGAGGCTGTCCCCATATTTGCAGGAGAATAATGATAAGCTGAGGTGCTCTTAAAAACGACTATGGTATGGCATTCAACTTACCCCCAGTTGCCGCGCTGTCCATTACAAGACACTATAAACATAACACTACCTTCGCAAAACACGAAACCGCTAATCGACACAAAATGGAAAAAGCGCCTAAATTTAAGGTATGAAGCCTTCCCTGCGAAACTGTATTATACCGCTTATTATACTATGATGAAGCCGTCGATGTTAGGGTTTTCAGCATTTCACTCCAATGAATTATTTAAGTTCATTTAATTTGATTTTCGCGGTATCTGCTTTTTTAAATGACATGTCTTGCTTCAGCTGATTTTGGGTTCATCTTCCATATCTCGTCAAGCGATTTTAGCTGACATGGGCTATGAATTCACAACCATGGTAAGTTGCTTTGCGCTATCACAGTTTTATGGGAGGATTTCTGTTCTTCCCTTTCTTGATTGCTCTTTGATGCAGTCTGCAGATATAGATGAGAAAGGAATCCGAAAAGACAAGCCGGAAGATTTAGTCATGGCTCTGGCTGAGGCAAAGGTGGGATATTCTACTACTCCAGAAGTTAGAATTGCAAATTTTTTGTTTATCAGAAATGATCTGAGTATGATGAGTATCACATCTCAGCATGCATTGTCATTGGCTTCACCTTATTAAGTATTTTCTGCTTTCTTCCCAGTTTTAGTTTCTCTCAATTGTGGTGATCCTTCTTTTACTGCTTGGCTGAATATGGATTCTGTTTTATTGGATTGCTCCTCAGGCAGATGCCATTATATCAAAACTTCAAAATGGTGAACTTCAAAAGTCTTATGCCACCCCAACGCTTCTAATTGCAGCTGATACAGTATGTTATTCATGTCCAACTTTTCTAGTTTATGGGTGCATATATTATACTAGTATGCATCTTCCTCTATTGCACAGCTTACATTATACGTAAGCTGTATATTATATACACAACTTCTTCTCTTGCTGTCATTTTTGTCCAACTCTAATACGGAGTATATGAAGTTCAAGGTGATTAGTGATATTAAGTACTGAGAGTGATTTTTCTTCACCTCTTTCACCTTCTCATGACCCAATGTCTCTTATTCTTTGCTTCAAAATAGGACGTGTTTCTTCAAATAAGCTCACATGAATAAGTTTATTGAAAGAACATAGTCACAAATGTTCCTTATTGCCTTGAGCGTCTTTACTTTTAACACCACTTGATGAAATTTGATATCTTTTAACACTTTGTTACTGCTAAACTCAAATTATTGGAGGTGGTGGTCTATGAAGGTATAGTGAGGGAGAAACCATCCTGCAAAGAAGAAGCAAGGCAGTTCGTGAAAGGTCTATTCATTGTTCTGCCCCAACCCCTTCTCCAGTTATTTTCATAATATGGGCATTCTTAATAATTACCTTTTGAATTTGGCAGATTACTCAAACGGGCATGCTGCAACCGTGACCTCTGTTTTTGTCTCAAACTTGAAAACTGGAGTTAGAAGAGGAGAATGGGACAGAGTAGAGGTAAAATATCCTTCCAAAGGATTTTCTTTTAATCCATAATTATAGTAAAAGAAAATTCAGGCTTCTACATTTTAGGGTTGTAAATGAATCAAATAATTTGTGCTCGATTCGCGATTCGAATTCGTATAAGACAATTCGAATTCGAAAAATTCAAATACAAATACAAATATGAATATTAAATTTGATTCGGGTTGTTATCAAATACAAATAAGAATATCAATGTATTCGATTCGAATATTAATCAAATATATTCGATTAATAATAGTGAGATTATTACTATTATTATTATTAATAGTAATAATAATTTCTGTTTTATTATGCAAGGTAGGAGTCTTAATATAATTTCTGAATTGCAGATTTATTTTCACAAAATACCAGAAGAAGCCATTGATAAACTGGTAATTGCTTTTGGACTTTTGGTTGTTACTTGTTAGTAGAGAATATGCTCATACATTATAAAACAAAAACAAAAGATTGTTCTCTTCGGTTTGATGTTTAAGTAGGATTAATATATGGACAATATGCAGGTTAACGTTCCTTTTTTTCTCTTTATCAGATTGATGAAGGAAGAGTGCTTAGTGTAGCTGGCGGCCTCATAATCGAGCATCCCTTGATATCGCCTTGTGTAAAAGAAGTGGTAAATTTTCAGATGCTTTAATCTCTAGATTAGCACACAAGTTCCTTAAGTAACACTGTAACACTAATACGTCCAATTTATTGATTGTAGCTAAGAAAGAACCATCTTCTTTTAAATTCAATTTCTCCAAAAGAATACTTTTTCGAATGTAAAAATAAAGTAAATTTTGTTATAATTGTGTGTTTGAACAAGAGAAGCTAATATGCATTATGTTTAATGGTTTGTTTCCCCAAAAAAGTGTCATAAACATGCATTTAAAATTTAGTC